TCTTAGCTCCTTCCAGTTGTTTCAAAATCTTCACCACTGCCTGGATTTGCCCACCACTGTTCCCTTGACTTACAAGATTTACTCCTTGTTCATCATCAGAATTTACAAATTTAAACTATAGTAAAAATGCAACATGCTATAATATGGAACAGAATGATTAAAAATTCAGTCTCTGTAGTAGGTGGCTGCACCAGTTGCTAACTTTATTACATCAAGGAAAGTTATCTAATTCTCTTCTTCAGTTTCTACGTTCAAAAAAATAAGAATACTAATAAATTTAACCGCTAAGGGTTATGCAAAAACCATGCATGATGATGTAAGTATGGTGTTAGCACATAATCTGATATTTAGTAGGTGCTGAATGCTAGCCATTGTAATTGTTTCATTCTTTTAATGCATTAATACCTACTAAGCATTATCTCAGGTAGTAAACAAAACAGAAAAGGCACCTGCTTTCATTGAGCTAGAAAGTGTCCTCTAATCATTTTCCATTATTATTGTTCATATATTATTTCAAACAACCCCACTGGATAGTATTTCCTGAGGTACTATTATTTTGTGTATCAAATTGTATGCTATACACAATTATAGATGCAGTTTACCACCTCTTTTTAAGTCATCTACCTAGTGCTGTTTACTTAGTTTGATCACTTAATCTATTTTCTTGGCTGGAGACCCCAACAAGTAAAAAGCCAGGAGAATTCCCTCAGTTCCTAATAAATACTTATTGGGCTTCTAAGAAAGTTGAAAAGATGACCCCTATGATAGTTTGGGGGGGAAAAGATCAAAAGACTAGGGTAGATGTGAAAAAAATCATACATTAATTAAATACTAAATTATCCAATAATGGGCAGGCATATGACTGTAGTATGCAAGATATGTGACTTAATGTGGTTTTCATAATTTAAAAGTTTCATAGAAGAAAGTGGAAACTGAACAAAATCTTGAAGAATTTACATGAGTGGAAAAAAATCAAGAGCAGGAGGCTGGAGTGATATATATAATCACATAAATGGAAATAAAGACAGTGTGTCATATTCATTTTCATATGGCCTGAAGGATAGGCCACAGTGAAACCTGAAGATGGTTGTTGACTTTAGTAGAAGTAGGGAATCAATCACTGGGAGCCTGGGTCACGGTGATGCCTGGGAGAGAGAAGAGGGAGCATAAGAAACAGATAATTTGAAGATGGAACCAGCAGGACTTGTAAGAAATATTAAAGCCCTTACAGTTTCAAGGTGATTTCACATGCATTGTACCCTGGCCTAGATTTGTTTCTCATAATAGTACACAGAATCTGTGCCAAGTGCACAGTGGTTCTTAACCCCATGATACTCTTAACCCTTATTATGAACAAATGCCCCCTTTACCCTCCTCAAAAGTCATAATTGACTTATTTGCATACATATTTTTGAAAATATCAACAACATACTTTTAAAAAATTTTATTTTATTAGTACATTTTAGGTGTATAATATGATGACATTCGTAACTGGAAATTTGCACCTTTACATAATCTCTCTTGGTTCTTATTGTTTTCCCCCTTCCCCTGCCCTCCCTTCAACCTCTAACAACATACTTTTCTGTCATATAAAGAAATATTCAAAGCATGTGATTAATATTAAAATATATTTTTTCAAAATGTAAAAGCCCAAACATGACTATTCCAGAAGACATAATGATAGTAGTCAGATATCTTTACATGTAGATCTCAATGTCTGAAAGTGCATACAATACAGGTGTGTTGTGTTAATAACTCAAATGGAGTGGTTTTTAGTGATGTGGTTGTCTGAGTGGTGGCCAATGCTTGGTAAAATTCTCAAAAGAAAAAAGCAGGCACACTACTTCCTCAGCTATTCAGCACTTACAGCCCTGAGAGCCCAGTGTATAAAAACCATGCCAAAATACATCTGGCATATGTGTATGAAACAGAGTCCACCGCTAGCCTCAAGTGATTATAAATAGATTTTCGCCTACAGAAATGTCCATCCAGTAGCACTTTGGTATTGCAGGACATCTTACATTGTCTCCTGGCTCCCAGCCATTAGATGCTGGACATCTTTCCATCACCGTGACAACCACAGGTGGCCCTTGGATTCTATAGCCTCAGAAGGAACAGCCCCAGCCCACTAGGTACCACTGGGCTGGATGCTAGCTCAAAGATGGTAGCACATAAGGGGACTAGGAGGGGAGGATTGGGATGTGGAGCCCAGAAATGAAGTTGGCCATAGTGCCTTCTTCCCCAGCCAGGGAGAGCTTACAACTTTTTAAATTCTGCTAAGCTGGCTTTTCCACCCTGGCAACAGTTTCATGTTCTAAGCCCAGGTAGAAGATAAAATGAGGAAAACATACAGTAATTGGTAGGAAAAATAATACAAACCCTTTTTGACTCACTTAGGTTAGAGGCCAGCAAACTCACTTTAATTCCCTGCTCTCTATGTCAGCTCACTGGGAGGAATACACTATGTCTCAAGAAATAGGAGCAATTTAGTCCTAACATGAATCTTTGAAACTATTTTGAAATTCAATTCTTCTTTCCTTTAAACTACAAGAATGATCTCAGCCACTTTTCCCCAGTTTTGTGGAGTATGCACTAATGGCTAATCCCTCTGGTATTTGCACTGTGCACAGTGGAAGGCAGTGAGCCGATGTGCCAGGTTGTTTAGTATTAGCATGCTGCAGGTTGCCTTCTGCTTTCCAGTCTGAAGACAAATCCAAAGGGCTTGGTCCACTTAGAGTACTTTGCAGAGGATTTGGAACCTTGGATTTTCATTTAATAATAATACACACATACATACCCCACTCTTTCACAGATACTGGCATATTGTGTCTAATTTATAAATAGTCATTTATCCCAAAAATACTGAGTATACTTCAAATGCCTGCCAAATTATAATATTTCAAGAACATAAATCTATTTGCATTCTTTTTCCAGTTCTAGGATTATTCATTTACCATCAGATGCCTGCTATTCACAAGAGAACAGGTTAGGCATGGTGAGAAAATCAGAAGTAAATTAGACCCTTTATATTCTCAAGGGGCCCGTTGTCTAGTTGGAATGATAAAACCTCAAACATGTTATAAGTTAAGAGCCATTGGAAAGTAGATCGAATACTGATGGGATAGAATTTTAACTTGAGGACCTTACAGATTCATTAACATTTAAACAAGTAAAACATACTAAATTTTGAGAAATGTCTTTCTGAGCTAAAATAAATGTGAGGAGAATTTTTTTGTATTTTTACATGTCAGAAAATGAGTCTTCCTATCACTTAATAATGTGCATTCTCCAGTTGTTGTCAGGGTGTAATTAAGTGACTTTGAATAATTGATAATAATGGCTTCATAATGTTGCTACCTGTCCAGAAAAATAAACTTCTTTAAAAATTGAATATTTTTTCTTTTTTCCACTGAATAAGTTCTTTTTTGTACAACTCCAGATTCTGGGAGGCCACCATGGTATTTCAGGGATGTATCTTAACCTCTATTCACAGTGAAAGGGGATCAGACGAGATCCAGGGCATTCGGTGGTATGGCCGTAAATAGTGAAGGGGGGTCAGATGGGCAGACAGGAGGCAGGTAGATAGGTGGTCAGGATCATTATGGGAAGAGTTCAGTTGCTAATGTAGGAAGGATTCTTGTTACCAGAAGAACATGTGTTAAACTTGAGGGTAACAGAGAAATGAGTCTCCTTTGGAATTCTGTGCCCTCCTCTTTACACTGCCTTCCTTTGTCCTGGGCACTAGATCTTAATGCATCAGGTCCTGGTAATGGTCCAGACCTACTGTCTTTCTCCCAGCATCCCTGTTCTCTGCCTGTAGGCGAGAGATTTGACTCAGAGCAGGGGGTCAACATCGAATTTTGGCCAGAATATGTTTGTGAAACTTAATTTTACCCCATGTTAGAAATAATTTATATCTGATCTGAATGGAGGTTATTGAGTTTATGTGTATATAAATTCATTGAGTTGTACTGTTAAGATTTGTGCATTTCAAATATATTATGTCCCAATGAAAAGTATAAATAATAACAATAAAAGTCAAGTGGCCCAGTCACTGGAGTATTGCCAGCTTTGGTTTTTCTTGTAATTTAGCAGTGACTTTTGCATTTTAAAATAAATTTTTAGAATTTTAGTGTTAATTCTTTCTTAAATTCTTTGTGGTGCTGGGCATCGAACTCGGGTCCTTGCACTTTTGAGGCGGGCGGCGGAACCACTGAGCTAAATCCCCAGCCCCTTAAATTTGTTTTTAATTAGTTAAAATTAATAGCCAGCACTGGATGATTAATCGTAACAACTCTTTGTACCTCTTCAAAACAGCAAACAACTCAGTAGAATGATCATTGGCCAAAATACATGTTTTTGAAATAAAAGAAAGGGAGAAAAACTATATTTCTGAAAAAAGGATGAAAATACTTGTTGCAAAATTATCTTTTTGATTTTTCAAGACTTCTACTGTTATATCTACAATTCAAAGATAATTATAAACTAAAGTATTATTTCAAATTATCGTGTTTACTAACTTTCATCCAGTCTCCTACTTTGCATCCATTTCTTAAAGCAGCCCCCAACACACACACACAAACACACACACACACACACACACACACACACAGACACACCACTACAGCTTCCATCCTGACATCTGGAGCTTTGGGTTGACATTAAGACTGAAGTCTGGTGAGTGAACAGTCACCATGTGATGATGTCAAAGTGAACAGAAATAGAACTTACAATAAAATCTTTCCTTGTAGCTGTGGTTGTCAAGGTTCAAACATTCAAAGAGAGAAATATTCTTTTAGAAAGAGAGCTTAAAAAAATCAAATTTGATGTGACTAAATTACAGAATAATCTACAAAGTCCAGAAATTATATGGAAATTAAATTTGATCTACCTCTTCTCACCCAGGCTCACATCTTGGATGGATTTTTTGATACTATGAAGTATTTCTTAACATTATTATTTAAGATAAATATTTAGCATGGACTCTCTTGTTGGAACAGGACAGCTGGGAAGTGGTAGAAGGACTGAGGGGGGACATGACTTACACCCAGGAGCCTCCTGTTCAGAAAGGATTTTTGCTGAAAAAGCGGAAATGGCCCTTAAAAGGCTGGCACAAGGTAAGACACTGGCCTTGCCCTCCCCTGATGTGCCCCCGTACTATGCCACTTAGGGCCCAGTACCTGTGCACTTACGTTTGATTTGAAGTTGAAATTTGAGACCAGGGAAGGGATACTTCAATGGATCGTCTTAATCAATTATCCTGTCTTCCCCATAGAGATTCTTCTACCTGGACAAAGGAATCTTGAAATATGCCAAGAGCCAAGCCGATGTAAGTCTTCTGGTTGACCCAGCATGCAACTGCAGAACTATGCAGGGGTGCTTGCTGTCAGCTCAGGGGAGAGATTATGTACAGTTTGAGGGTCACAGTGCTCTGATGGTATGAGTTTCTCCAGGTGAACAGAAGTGCCTGCTCCCTGCTGTCTCAGCTCGGATCTTAGATGGGCATAGTTAACCTACCAGGTGGAGGGGCAGGGGCTCCTCTAACACCTCACTGGGTATCCATGGGTCTGTTCTGGTCTTAGGGTTGTGTTGAGGGGTTCCCTGAGTGGGAGAAGTCATCCTTGCAGCCAATAACAGGAGCAAAGCAGAGTGCTGTGACCTTCCACACTTTGGTGATGGAGGGGCCTGAAGGAGAAGGTGTTGGCTGAGAAATTATTCTTGGACCAGGCAGTTGGTCTGTGAGGGTTGTGAGTAGGTAGGTCTAGAGCTATAGAGGTCTTCTCTCCTTTCCTCCTCTCCAACCCTCCCTTCGCCTACTTTTAAGTCACTTCTCAATGAGTTGACACCAGACACTAATTCAGTGGGAGGCAGTGGTGTTAACAGGTTAATTCACAGGAGTCAGCCCATGGGCCTTGCTATCTTGTTTCTTCACATACTGGCTATGTAAACTGCTTGTTACTTAACTCCTCTGCACCTCATCTTTGAAAGAGGGAGCATGCTTCGTACCTCTCAGAGGGCAGAAGGCAGCGTGCAGTACTGGTTCTCATGGAGTGCTGCATCAGTCATAGCCTTTGGATTTACTGTGAGGGTGGTGGGAGTTGGAGGATGTTCCTACCACCTCGAAACCTGTGGTTCTCAAGTGGCCTTCTTCATGACTCTGCAGATAGAGAGAGAGAAGCTGCATGGCTGCATTGATGTGGGGCTGTCAGTGATGTCTGTAAAGAAGTCGTGCAAGTGCATCGACCTTGACACCGAGGAGCACATCTACCATCTGAAGGTGAGGGTGCTTCCCGGGTGTGCTCCCTGTCATTCATAGCCCCTGTGGGCTTTTCTTTTTGTTTTTTTTCTTTATTTTTTATATGAGATGCAGTCTCACTTGTTATGCAGGCTGGCTTCAACTACTGGGCTCAAGTGATCCTCCAGCCACAGCCTACTGAGTAGCTGCAACTACAGACAGGCACCACTGCACTTAGTTCTGTAGAGCCCCTTTATGTTGATACTATGCTGTTAGTGATGCCTTCTGGATGCTCAGCTAGCACGCAGAAGATCTTCGTCACCAAAGTGTTCCTAATGGACACTAGATATTGGGATGGGGCCGTTCTTCATGGTCCGGGGCTGTCACTCACACTGCTTGAAGGTTTGGCATCCTTGTTGTCTTATGCCCCCAGTACCATCCCTCCTTCCTAATGACTGTGCCAATAGTAACAGAAACATCTTCATATTTTGAAATCACCCCATACCAAGCAGTGCCATCTTTAGTAAAGAACCATTTATCAAAGGTTAAAATGTGTTCCTTGAAATACAGTGTAATATCCTAGCTTGTGGATTCCTATCTTACAGTTTCAGCTAACTTTATAGGGATTTCATGAAAATTCTCATAGTGAAGCATCAGGAATTTTCCCCCTAAAGTATGAGTCTGCAAATAGTATACCTCAGAGCTATTTACCTTATTCTTCTCTGTCTTCTACGGGTGGTAGAGATAGTCAGAATCATGAAGTATGAGGTTTAGAAGCGGTTCAGATCTTGACACAGCTACTAACTAGTTTTTGAACTTTGGCCAATTATTTAATTGCTGAAAGTCTGATTTTTCACCTAAAAAAAAAAAAAGAATGACAGCTATTATAGAGCTCATTTTGTAAGAACTGCAAATAAAACTCTTGTCCTAATGCCTGGATCACATAAGCTCAATAAGTTTAGTTGATGCTTGTGATTATTAGGTGGCACCTGATGTTAGAAATTAATTGAGAAAATGCTAAAGCATTTTTCTTACTTGGGAAAATTACTTTGGATTTGGGAAACAGGGGCTGATGGTTTAGACAAAGAAAGCATGAGAGAGCCTGTGCTTGTCTCTGCAGCATGTGTGTGGTGACGATCAACACAGGCCTGACACACACATCTGGTTGATTGACTGGGCAAGATGTTCAAATACAGACTTAGTGTATCTTCAACACCTAGGTTAGTGCACTGTGGAAAGCAGAGTCTCAACTTTGGCATTGTGGGTGAATTGGATAATTCTCTGTTGTGGGCTGTCCTGGGTGGTAGGATGTCACACATTACCACTGGCCTCTACTCACTGGGTACCAATAGCATCCTGTTCTAGGTATGAAAACCAAAAGTTTCTCCAGACGTTCTCAAGTCACCCATTGGGATAAAATCCCCCTGGTTGCAAATGACTACTATGATGTAAAGAAGAGTAAAACCTATCATCTTAAAAAAAATTAAGAATACTAACCCTACCCTCCAGCCATTTTTGATGGCCAGTCTCTTCTACAATAGTTTAGGGTGTTTTTTTGGTTTTGTTTTGGTACTGGGGATCGAACTTGGGACGTTGCGCTTGTGAGGCAGGTATAGGTTATTTTTCTATGTATTTTCCGTGATTCTTCTTTTTGAGTTCTGACATGGTCAGGAAATAGGTTCTTGTTTATCCATTATTCTAGTTAATGGAATAAAAATGATCATTGATTCCTAATTTTTAGCAATTTAGAATGTCTGAGGATACGTTGAATACGAAGATGTGATAAACAGAGTTCATTATTTCTCTGATTCACTTTAAGTTCTGTTTAGTTTCTTGGTGATTCTTATGAACACCAGCTGTGACTGTAGTGTCGGTAAATGTTATCTGAGGGTTCTAGTCAGTAGCCTCAGAGTCAGGCCCTCCAGGTAGGCCCATTCGCTTGTTTTTATAGATGAGGAGTCTGGGCACCAAAGAGGGTGTCTGTCCATCCAAAGTCCTAGTCCTAGAATGGCCGGGGGGCTGAAACAGAACCTTGGTCAGTTGTTTAACAAAGTGCTTTTCTTTTTCTACCTTGTTTAACCAGTAAGATCAGTCAAGACGAGTGTTTTGGGTACTGACTTTTAAGGGTCCCTGAGTGTAGATCAGTGCAAAGATGACACGAAACTCTCATAAAATTCCCCAACTGGGAAATAAAACACATTTCAGGAACATCATAATATGGGGGAATAAAAGATATGTGTGTCTGTTTGCTTTTCCTCTTCCTATAAATGACACATAGCACCTGGAGGAGTCTCCTGTCTGGTTGGCTCTTGTCTGAATCAACAGAAAAGCCAGCCTCAGTTTCTCAATGATCAGTCATTATGATGTTTATTCACACATCCTCATTCTCAGCTGTAGTATTAGTGAAGATCTTCGTGGGCTTGGTCTGAGTTCCCATGTGGGAAGTTAACCTACTAGGCCTCCTTTTGGATTATTTTAAATAGCAGCTTCATGAGTGTCTGTATCCTGATAGGTAGGTATCTATCATTTTAAAAATGTTAATATGCTCTGATACATACAGAAATACACTTCTAAGGAATATCAGGGGTATATAGGTGCTTGTTGTATCTTTTTCATATTTTTATGAGCATTTTCTAATAAAACTTTACTAGTTACAAACATTCTTCATGGAAATTATAAATTGATAGTTACTCATGGTGAAAATAGGTAAATGTTTGTATAGTAATGATGATGGAACTTTATAATGCTTTATCAGATTTTTCTGTTAATGACTGGGAAAAATGTTCTTTTAAATAACCCTCATATTCATTAACATACATTTCTCAATAATGTATCCTTTGACAGAGTAGATGAATAAGGTTAAATATTTTAAGGAAAGTTTACTAATTCATTCCAGTCTAGAGAAGATTGATCTGAAAAGTCTGAATTATAAAAGAGTTGAGAGGGCCGGGGATTTAGCTCAGTGGTTCTGGGGCCTGCCTTGCGAGCGCAAGGTCCCGAGTTCGATCTCCAGTACCAAAAATAAAATAAAATAAAATAAAATAAAAGAGTTGAGAGAGAGGAAAATGGTGCTGACATATTCAGTAGAGCTAGCAGAATCTAGGACTGGAGAATTGGAAAATACATCGTGAGACAGATTAATGTAAATTTCATCTTTTATTGTTTATATATAACTGATAGTATTTTCCTTTCTTAAGAGTAACAAAACAATTGGATACTCTTAAAGAAAACCTAAATTCACACTTCATGAAGATCATTTTTACTCCATATTTTCTCTGCAAACTTGTTCCTGTAGAGCACATAAAAGCAAAGTAAGTCAATAGAGACTTTCTACATTTCTGCATGCGCTAACTAAGAAGCATTCAGGAACCTCAACTTGATGAATAATTGTTCCTTTCAGCAAGTGACTCTTTTATTTTCTTCTTTCAATTTGACACATACTAGGTGAAGTCAGAAGAAGTTTTTGATGAGTGGGTAGCCAAACTCCGGCACCACAGAATGTTTCGTCAGAATGAAATCGCCATGTTTCCACGAGAAGTGAATCACTTTTATCCAGGGTCTACCATCACAGATGCTGCACCGGGGGCATTTGACTCCATTTCCGGGAGGAAGGTAATGAGCATTTACTAGTAATTAACCTGAAAGAAGAGGGGTACCTTTCTGAAAGGGGAGGCCCACCTTGAGAGCTGAATCTGAGGAAAGGTGTGTGGGGAGGAGCTGGGAAATTGGGCTGATGTTTAATTTGTCTTGCCTACTGAGTCAGAACCAGGACCAGATAAGCATCTGTTAACAATGGGACAGAGAATGAAGAAGAGCATGTAAAGAACAACTGAGTATCTCTGAATGCTCTAGCTCTCTCTTGACCAGTTTGATTTACCTGGCTGTAAAATGTAGTAGGTATGTGTATGCCCCACGAGATTGCAGAATTCTTCCAGATGTTTAAATATAACATCATTTGACAGAAAAAGAAATAAGAGCTGTCATCTGAGGTCTCATATTATGGTATGGTCAAGCTGGGGTGACAGCTAGAGGTGTCAGGGTGTCCCTGTGGGTGCTTTGCTAGAAGCTTCTTCCCATTACAGGCAGAAGGCATCCATTATCAACTAACCTGCCCTGTTATCCTTTACCCCAAATTGTCCTTGCTGGTGTCTGTTTTCATTTATAATACGGTCTCATCCTCTGTGGAACAGCGTAGCAGTATATCAAAGCAGAACTCATTTCAAACTGGAAGCAATTTATCATTTTCTTGTGGTGGTGAGGCGAGAGTTCCATTATGGCTACAGTCTTCGGAGGACATGGAAAAATGTTCAAAAGGTAGAGTGACTTGAAACCTCTGCTCCATTCTGACATGGCTCTGAAATGAACTAGTTTTGCATCTGTCCCTTACCTGAATTTGTGTCCTTCTCTTCTCTCTACATTCCTTCCCATACTTTGCTAATTAAGGTCACATTTGTTATCAACAGAAGACACTTTGATTGTGGAGTTTTATGTCTTTGCCTGGCTGTGTCTGAAGACAGGCTTCCTTTTGTAGTCCTTAAGTACCTGATTTCCACCCAGGCCCATAAATCAGTCTCCAGGGATGGGAACTGCACAGCCCTGTTTTTCTTTAAGTACCAAAAATGATTCTGATGCACATCCTGGATTGAGACTGTTCTAGAGGTGAGTGGATGACCAAATGGAGAGCCCCACTATGTATGTGTTCTCTGCTCTGGCTGCACATTCAGATCACCAAAGAACCTTTAAACTACAGGAATACCCATGCCAAGGCCTCTTTCCCAGACATTCTCTTTAAATTGGTCTGAGGTGGGGTCCTGGCAGCACTGATGGTCCATAGTTCCCCAGGTGATTTTTGCTAAGGAGCCAGGATTGAGCACTCCAGGCATAATGAAGCTCAATGTTCACACCTTAATTAGCTAAAACTCATCGAGGGAACAAAAAGAAAGCTCATCAGTGGATTAAGAGCATCTTGGATGGAGTGTGGGCATGTATAGTTTTTAAACATCTCTCCAGCTGATTTAAAAATATAGCCATGTTTGTTTGAGAACTACTATTAGGGAACAATGCAAGGTGGTAATCTTGAGAATTGCTCTTCATCTTGTTGTATGCACATACTGTCCACTAGGACTATGTAGGCTTTACCCTTCCAGGAAATATATTCATGAGCTTCATTGATTGACATCTTGGCCAAGTGGCCCCTGAAGTACTGTATATGGACCAGCAAGATCAGTCCTGCCTAGGGACTTACTAGAAATGCATATTCTCAGGCCCCTCCCTGATGTGCTGAATCCAACACTGGGGTTGGAACCTGAGGATCTGTGACCTAAATACTCCTGGTGATTCTGGTGATATGAATGTTTGAAGCCATCGTCTAAGACCTTTGGGCCTTGATTCCTCAGGAGCATCTGTCACCATCTAGTGAACCACAAATTGTGGGCTATCTTTTGTTTAGTGACTAGGACTATAAGATTATTCTTCAGTCATCTCAGGTCCATCTGCAGAGGCTCATCACGGTCCTAATGTAGGTCCATGATCAGTTATTTTTAGAGACTGGTACAACTTTTATTTCATTTTCATTCTTTTGATGTGAATTGGGTCCTTCCAAGTGGCAGGGAGCAGCCTGTTGTTACTGGATAGGAATAACAGTGCTGCTGCTGCTGTTGATAATGATGATGATAATGGCTGATTTATTGAGTTCTTACAACAGAACTTTTCTAAGACACTTTTCTAAGTGCTCTTCACCTGTCAACTCATTTAATTCTCATAACTCTCAGTGAGCTAGCTATGTAGTTGTCCCCATCTTCCAGATGAGGAAACTGAGGCATAGAGAAGTTATGTCATTTACCCAAGAATTCATTGAGTGGATTCAAACTGAGTCAACCTAATTATCCAGATCCATTCCTTTAACCCTTACAGTCTATAGGCATTCTTCTAAAACAAAGCAAAATTTTCTGCCTATCCAGATGGAAAGTCAAATGTAGAAAAGTAAGAAAAGTCTGGTGCCAGCACAGTGATCCCTCTTGCTATGGAGAATTGTGATCCCTCTCCTCTTTCTCTCATAGACCTGACACAGTGCCATGCCTATCTGGTGGAGATGAGTCAGCTCCTGCAAAGCATGGACGTCCTGCATCGAACATACTCAGCGCCAGCAATCAATGCCATACAGGTTCGCCTCACCTTTTGGAGTTCACCTTCTGGCTTCTACTTTCCTTTCTCCTCCCAGCCTTTGACTAACAGTGGGATGTTGTCTGGCCAGTTGCTTCAGCCAAACTCAAGGGGATGGAAGTTGTCACTTTGCTATGCGTTTATCCCTGTGGTTTGGTGGACCTTATTGTCTGTGCTCTCTTTCCTGTTTTGAAACAAAGGGTGGAGCTTTTGAAAGTCCCAAAAAGGAAAAAAGATTGCACAGGAGGTGGCGGTCCAGAGCTATTGGGAAAGATACTAAAGGAACACTGCAGGTAACCAATGCTTCCACCCGTAACAGACTGCTTTCCTCCTTGGCACTGCTCTGCATGTCACATTTTGGGGCTACTTTGACTCAAATAGAATGGACAAGTGCATATTCTAGAGTTGCTCTTTGTGCAAGGGGAGGAATTCAGTCACTTAGATCTTCTGGGTATGAATATAAGGTTGTAACGGACTTTGGACAAGAGAAAGAATGTTTTCTGAAAAAAAAATGTTACAGAGTTAGAGGAATTACCACCATTTCTAGGGCTTTCCACTTCCCCTTCTTTAATGTTTAGCCTGCCTGCCCTCTTTGCTGCTTGGGTGTGTTCCTTGTTTGTGGCTGCAAAGACCCAGTGTTCTGATCCCCCTGTCCTGCTGATGCTCAGTGGATTTATCATCCCTCTGAGCCCACAGGCCCAAGTCTCTGGGCACAAGACATCATGCGGACTCTCTTGCCATTTTCCTCCAAACTCCCATTACCCCACTACAGGCTCACTGTGTCGTGTAGAAGCTCTCCTTCCCAAAGCACAGTGAAGCTGCAGGCCAAGATTTGCAGCATGACTGTTGCATATTAAGTTGCAACATTGTTATGATCAAAATTAATCCCAAGCTTTTGAAAATCAGCGATATACTCTTGTATACTCTTAGGTTCAAAGCACTTTATGGGCTGAACTCCACTACTTTTTTCTTTTTTCTTTATTAAATTCTTTCATTGGTACATTGTAGGTATACAACACAATTACATTTCTCATTGGGAATTGTACCTTTACATAATGCATCTTGGTTCTTAATTTTTCCCCATTCCTAGCCCTCCCTTCACGCCCTCCACCCTTCCCTATTTACAAAGACTTTATTTCCATTTTTTCCATTTCTCATCATTTTTCCTTTCCCTTCTTTCCTTTCCCCTGCCCCTCCCACTACCCCTACCCCTTTGGACCTTTTCTTCCTATTTTGCATTATCGATTATTCATTCTAATCATTGGTACATTTTAGGTATACAATATAATAACATTCATCATTGGAAATTTGCACCTTTACATAGTCTCTCTTGGTTCTTATTTTTCCCCCTTCCCCTGCCCTCCCTTCAACCCCTCCAGTCCTCCCTATTTACAAAGCTTTTGTTCCTATTTTTCCATTTTCTCATATTAATCCCATTCCCTTCTATCCTTTCCCCAGCCCTCCCACTTCCTTCCCCTTTGCCCCTTCTCTTCCTGTTTCACATTACCTATTATACATTCAGTCCTTATTTACACTTTCAGTTTCTCACACCAGAGCAACAGTTCGCTGCCTGCTGAACTCCACTACTTTTAAAGTAGAGAATGTTCCATGTAGAAACATGAGTAGTTAGCTAGCTTTGTAGAAGCCCCAGGTGCAAATAAAAGCATTTTCAAACCTATTCACTGCTAACAACCCAGTTACTTACTGGGTGGTGATTGCCAGGAGGAAGGATGAGTGTAAAGGAGAAAGCCTGGCAGTTTTAGCTGTCATTTTCAACTATAGCTTTAATACTTATATCATTTCCAAAAGAATATATGATTTCTCACCAAGTTTTATTTCATAAGAAGCAAGTTTCTATGGAAAGTATTTTCCTAAGTTTTTATATGTTTTTCTCCTATCATTCAGTAGGAAGACTTTTAAAATGTTCTTCCCTTAGCAAGTTCCAATCTTACAATCAAGTAAATATTCTGAACAGTTTATATCTGAATAGAAATCTCTTCTTTTGGTGTCACTTTAGGTCCCTAAACCTTTCTCTGGCCCTGTAAGACTACATTCCTCCAATCCTAATTTGTCAACACTAGATTTTGGAGAAGAGAAAAATTATTCTGATGGCTCTGAAACCTCATCAGAATTTTCTAAAATGCAAGAAGACCTGTGTCATATTGCACATAAAGGTAAATGAATTTTCTTTCTTCTTCCTGATGTTTGATAAAATATGCAATGCATGCCTAAAATTGGGGTGTCCTTGGAGAAGTTAGCTTAGTTGGTTCATTTTCTGTTCCATTAAGGATTTGGGCAAACTTTTTTTTTTCCCTTTTTGGTGGTATCGGGGCTCGAACTCAGGACCTTGCGCTTGTGAGGCAGGCATGGCATCCCCGGCCACTAATTTTTATTTCCCAGGTAGTGGAGATATACGAGAAGTTTCTTCTTAACATGTGGAGAGATAATGAGAGTGTTTGGTATACAGATGGCAGAACTCACAGATCCAACCAATTGCAGATTAACAATTTTTTTTTAAACTACATCTGTACTAAACATACTTTTTTCTTGTTATTACTTTTTAGACAATACAGTATAGCAACTATTTACACAATATTTACATTTTACTAGTTATTGTAAATAATCTATAGATTCTATAAATTATATGAAAGGAAGTAATACTGAGTGATAACTATACTTTAAAAGCTGAGCAATTTATTTGACACTCATGGGATCATAAATTTGTATTTTTCTGGAAGGCAATATGAAATTATAGTCCAGCTATTTTTTAATCTGCCTAGCCAGCATTTCTACTTTGAAGAATCTATTTGTAGAAATTAACTTAAAACTTATCCAAACAAATATGTGCATTGTTCATCATATCAAAAATTAGACATAGGTATTCAACATCATTAGCTGTTTTGGAAATACAAATCTATCACCATATACCTATCTGAACAATTAAAACTGAAAAAAGAAGAAGTACCAAATGCTGGTGAGGATACACAGAAACCGGATCTCTTATATATTGCTGGCCGTGTAAAATGGTGTAGCATTTTGGAATATGGTTTGGCAGTATTATATAAAACTAAATATGTACTTACCATAGAGCCCAGCACTCACATTCCTGAGAATTTATCTCAGAGAAGTAAAAATCCATGCAAAAACCTATTCACAAATGTTTAGAGCCAGTTTATTTGTATTAGCTGAAGATTAGAAACAATTCAGTGTCCTTCTACAGATGAATGATTAAACTATGATCCATCCGTACTACTACTCAGCAATAAAATGCAACAAACTATTGGTATATGCAACAATGTGGATGGGTCTCAAGGGCACTATGCTGAGTGAAAATAGCCAACCTCTAATATTTCACAGTATGCATTTCCACTTATCAAGCACTCTGGAAAGATAGAGAGAGGGAGAATTTGGTGATTACCAGAGGTTGGACAAGGAAGGAGGAAGGGGAGGAATGTGGATGTGATTATAAAGAGATTTTGGTGGTGATGGAAAGTTCTGTATCCTGATTGTGGTGCTGGTCACAAGAATCTGCACATGTGAGAAGATTGTACCGTTATCCTTATACACACATATACACAAATGAGCGTGTGTAAGACTGCTGAAATCTGTGTCCTGGTTTTTATATTCTATACTGCTTGTGTAAGTTTTACCATGTGGAGAAACTGGGCAAAGGCATAGGTATGTGAGACTTTTTAATTTTGGTTTTGTGTTTTGGTTTTATTGTTGTTTTTATTTTGAGACAGGGTCTTATTTTTTGTTTGTTTGTTTGTTTGTTTGTTTTTTGATACCAGGGATCAGACTCAGGACCTTGCGCTTACGAGGCAGGCAGCGGCACTGGGGAGCTAAATCCTTGGCCCCAAGACAGGGTCTTGTTATGTAGTCCAGGCCAATTTGAAAGTCTGGGCTCCAACTTGCAGTCCTCCTGAGTGTAAGGATTATAGGCATGTATTACCACTCCTAGCTTCTGCACTGTTTTTGCAACTTCCTGTGAGTCTATAACAATTCCAAAATAAAAATTAGAAATAACCTAAATGTCCAAGAAAAGGAGATTGGAGTCTTTTAAAATGCAATATAATCATATCATAGAATACTCAGCATAATAATAATAATAATAGCTACCTTGTATTGAACAAAAGCCATCACATCAGGTATTGTTAAGTACCTTATATGCTTTGTTTCATTTAATTATAGCAGAAACTCATGAAGCTCAGGTAATACTGTAATCTGTTTCATATGTGAGAAAGTGAGGTTTAGAGAAGCTGGAGGACTTCTTGAGGGTCATATGGTTCCAAAGGAGCTGGCCTGAGACTTGAATACTGACCTGCTCAACTCTAGGGTCCACATTCCTTCCCTGGTATTAAACTGCCCTTACAGATGAGGTGGCCAGGATTCTTATTTATAGATATAGAAAACATCACATTGAATAGAATATAAGGTTACAAAGCAATATAAGTATAATCCCATTTTTGGGAAAAATAAATATATTTCTGGTATAAATGGGCACACTAAAAAGTCTAGAAAAATGTACACCAGTATTTTAGTGATAGAGGCTAGAGTTGTAAGTACTTACTATCTTGACTTATCTTTTTAAAAATTTTTATATATTATTTTTCTTAAAGAGGAAATAGATTAAAAGGCTTTACGTGGAAAGGTAGTGTTTGAGGAGGGAGGAAAGAAGACATTTCCACTACTGCCTTCTTCTCTCCATGCCATATTTTCCTTCCTTCATATTGTTGATTTCTTCAGGTTTCTCTGCCCTTACCACATAAATCTAAAACATGTTAGTTATGAGATTGGTTATAAGGAAGCTATTTTATGCTTTTTACAGATTTCTCCTTCTGACTTTTTATTTTAGTCACCATTAGAATTTCTCAGTGTTTTGCAGTTCAGTAGTGTAATCTTGTATTTAATGTGAGACACTACCTGGCTCACCCCTTGAAAGCTCTTGAAATACCCCTTCGAGTATTCTTTAGTATTCAAAGAATCGGTTATAATTAGAGCATTTTACGTATTAGGGAAAGCAATTCCTATAAAACTCCATTACTTTTTAATAATATGCACTGTTTTGTTTTGTTTTGTTTTTCTATGAGAAGACAGTTTCTCCCTGCCAAAGGGAGAAGCACTGCCTTCACCCATATTGCAAAAGCTGCTTACTCGGTGGGGCAGTTGCTGTCCTGTTGAGTGGACCTATCGATCCAGTCCTCCTGCGGAGGTCTGTAACTCAATGAAGGTCTATAATGGGCTCCCAGCCAGCTCTTCTGCCTTTGGGGCTTTATGAAATCAGCTGGCTGCAGCCATGCCACATATCTGTGTGAAGCCAAGTGTCCAAGTGTGCTTATTTATTCAAGAGCAGCCTGAGCCCCCTGGGCTTACGGACAGTGGCTTCCACAGGGAGCCTGAGGAGCTGTGTTGTGCTTCTAATAGTTTTAAATACTCTTGCAGAGTCTAAAAGAGCTCCCTATCACCCCTTCAAGGTTTCTGTCTTACACAGATGCTATTTTAGAGGCCCGGCGGAATAATGACAGCTTTCAGGTTTGCCCCAAGTCCTGTGACCTTGTGTGCTTTCACACTGCCACATTTGGAACACAAAGCATTTTGACCTTTCTTCCCGTGTAAGCCTGGTTTTGTTTCTGGCAGTGCCTGTGGTACTGTTTTGACTGTATCACTATGCTGTTGACTATAATTTTGAAGCAGCTGAACTAAAGGCAAGAACTCCATTGATGGACCTTAAACTTATTAAATGCGTCTGAATTGTCTTCATTTTTCAGATCAAGTGGTGAGCAACCAACATAACCTATCCTAGTTTTAAAAAGTCCTTGTTCTATATGATAGACTATAAACTTGATTTTTATGGCATACATTGAACCGATTCTTGTGGTTCATGTTTCTGGCTTTGTGCATGTGTTGATACCCATATAAGCAAACAGAACAAAATATGTTAATCCTCGAAGTAATATTTTTTATTTTATATATTAGCCTTTAAATTTCCCAAAATGTATATTAGAACATTTTATCCATAAACTACTTGAAAATCAAAATAAGAATTTCATGATTTAAAATATTTGGAAAACACTGCTGACTATTGGTTCCCTTTGGATTTATACAAAGTACTGCAGACGGTAAAGTCTCTGAGAAGTTCTGCAGCAGACAAACCTATTAGCTGTACGTGAGTGAGTTTTTAGTGTTATTTGAGAAGCTCCCCACTGACCCCCAAACCCCACCAGCTAGTAACATCCTGGGACTAAAGTCCCTAAAAATATTCTTCAGGAAATATTGTAAATAATAAGCCTCTTTTGGAGCTAACCCCTCTGTTACTGACTAGCTGGGGCCTTGACTTCTCTGGCCAACCCTCTAGCTGTCAGTTGCCTCCTCTGTCAAATGTCCTACAGTAGCTGTCCTGACTCCTTTGGTTCTCAAATTCTATCCTTATCTTCTATGATTGTTTTACACTGAACAGAGAAAATTTGTACTGTGTCTTATTGTTACAAGAAGGTTTTATGAGAACATTTCCTGTTAGCAGCAGAAATAGAAATGACCCATGGTGGTGAGCAGATTTAGGGTGGGAAAGCAAGCAGTAGGATGGCAGGAGCATCAGGGATGGAAGGGATGAGTATCACCAAATGACGTGGATATTCACATCCTGCCTTGGGAGGGAAGCAAATGAAGTTTTAGGAATACTTTATAAATAGGTGGAGGAAATCATTATTTACAAATATAAAAGCTAAAAGTAGAATAAAATTAAATTACATATTAACTTATTTTGTTCCTGCAGTCTTTTTCTTGAGTTTTAATGTTGAGTGGTCATTTTCTAAACTGTTTTGAGCTTACAGAAGCTTTGAATCAAAAGCCAATTATGTCACAGTGATACCACTTTCATAGATTAAAAACTAAAAGACGTATTGACCTAAGGAAAAGCCACATCATATATTTTTCATAAATTATAATTTAGTATAAGTGTGCTGAGCAATTAAGCTCATGTACATTATCAATAAATAAGTAAGACCATTTAGTACAATTACCTAATGTATCAAAATCAATTTGGATGGTATTTGGGTTCAGAATATTTTAAAACCATGAGTATTCTATAAAGTTTGAAACTGAAAGGAAGCAGATTACAGAAAAATCACATCATCCCAGATATTTTAGGCACTTAATATTTTAAAGATAATTTACACAAAATATAGTTTCCATTAAAAAGAAGGAAAAAAAAGAAGGAAAAAACGAGCCCAACTGTGTCGATAATATGTTTTCTCCTTGCTTTCTTAAAGCACTCCTGAGATGCTAGCATCATTCACACACACACACACACACACACACACACACACACACACAGAGGTGTGGAAACCTGTATCCACAATGTAAATGGCCACTAAGCCATAGAGGGAGGCAGGGTTTAAGTTCACATTTGTCTTATTACAGAGTGACTTTCTCCGGTGCCACACAGCCTTTGGAGAGGTGGTACCCATGGCATTCATAACTACTTTCCTCAAAATCTTCCTTCCTAATGCTGAGAAACTGCTCAAAATGGAAGAGATTAAGTAAATCTCAGGTGCACAAGAGTGTAATTATCCTTCAGCATCCGCTTCTGCTATCTAAACATGCTGTGTATTGTGGTCTCTTCATCCTAATTCAATAAAAGTAGAACATGGGAGTCTGTAGCAGTGGGAAAGGCAGTGATCGTCAAGAGTTAGTTGTGTGCTTTTCATTTTCCATCTTGTGGGTGCAGCTTAATGGTTCTTAGAGTCAAAAGTTCCCCTCTGTTGCACTCACTTAGTGCAGCGAGGGCATCTGAGAAATGGCCAGGAACAGTCTGGGAAAGATGAGTAAACAGATCCCATAATTGCCTTCTGATATATGAATATATGAAAGAGAAAGTAGTCACTGCTTTAGGGGACAGCCAGAACATGGAGAAGTGTGGACTGAAAGACAATTTGGAGGGACATTGGAGACGTAGAAGAGTTGGTCAAGCTATCGGGCAGGTGGCTGTGATGATCTTTGAGGTTCTTTGTAGCTCTATGCATCCCAGACGTTTTGAATGGCTTTATTATCAAGCATCCATACATATAATACTCTCATTTGGATCTTCTGTTTTTTAACTTTTTATTTATTTCTGATAAACTTAGAATCAAGACCAAAATAAGTAAGAAGATACTCTGTCATAGAGAATAGTGCTGAACTTTGGGATCCTGTGCATTTAACAATTAATGTAAATATGATCTCCTATAACCAGCCTCTTGTCACAGTTCTGGGTGTGCTGGGTCACTAGGTGGCTGTGATGATTACTTTAATGTCTTCTGAGAGGGCCTGAGCTGTCATGTGAGGGATTTAGTGCATGAGGTTCCCCTTTATCAGATGATTGAGGAATTTTTCACCTTACCATAAAGTAATGACTGTATGTATGTTTTTGTGTTTATTTTGTTCCCACCACAGTCTTAGCTGTACATTTTGAATCAAATAGTGCATATTTTGCCAATTTAAGTAGAAATTTTCTAGTTTGGTTGAAAGCTTTGCCGTACAGCAGGGCATCTGAAAGCCAGAGGAATCAATCTGGGAAAGTGGTAGCCAGCTGAGAGCCATGTTTATTTTATTTGAAGAATAAATGCAACGGTAAAGAGATAGTTCCCCCAGGGACCCACTGAGATGGTTGTGGGTATCCTGTGTGTGTGTGAGGCGGGTGGCAGATGTCTAATGGGACATAAAATGCAGTGGGCTAACTGCATGGTTCATTGCTTTCCTCCAGAGGAAGCTCTTCTATGGCTCAGTAAACTGTAGCCAGTCCCTCATTTGCAGACTATCCTGTATGCCATTATTTACACATGCTTTTGTTGCATGTCCTGGCAAGAGACTAAAGAATCCTTCTACAGCTGTTGCCAATTTCAAGAGATTGTAGTCACCATCATGTTCATCCTCACGTATTTCTATCATTATCACTGTTACTATTGCAGTAACATTTATTATTCATTACATGCCTTGCATTGGGTTAAGTGCTTTACCTGCATTATCTCACTCAATCCTTCTAACAATCTACAAAGTGAGTGCTATGAGGAAACTGGGATTCAGGCACTCATGTACTTGTCCAGGGTCACAGAGTGAATAAATGATGGACCCTTCTCTTCTGTTGACAGAAGCAGTACTCGTGTGTGTGTGTGTACAAATAGCTTATTTGTATTAGGACATTGTGAAGATGCTCTAAGTCCATTACTAAATGTCACAACCTCAGTCAAGTTCAATGACAAGATATAGAGAGGCTCAGTTGTCCTCTTTGTTGCTACATGAAGGAAGTATATCACTAATGCATATTTAGTTTCTGTGTCACTAAATAGGTCACTCTTGGATAACAATACCCCTGAAAATGCAAGCCTCTGGAATTCAATGATATGCCAGGTCATTTGAGAAGATGTCTCAGTCGCTTCCCTCTTTCTGCCCTTCTGAAGCAGAAAGATTGAAAAAATAATATTCAAATGTGATATCCATAGTCCTTATTTCCTCATGCCTTGGAAGTAACTTATATACAGTATTATGTGATCAAAACTGGACGGATTTTTGTTCCATGTGTTAATGTTGTTTTAAAACTTCAGTTCAGATACATGAGTGCCTAGAGGTGCTAAGCTCTCATTGGATCTGCATACTCACTAAAGTGAGAGAGTAGCTGAATGCCAAGACTGGAGGTGGAGGATTCTGGTCCTGCAGATGGGAGGGTTAACAAGGTAGAGGGGAGGTGACACCTGATTTCAAAAGCTTCAAACTTACAGAAAACTTGTGGGAACAGTATAGGATTCCCATATACTCCTTACCCAGTTCATCATTTTCAATATTTTCCTATGTTTATTTTATCACTGTCTTATACACACACACATACAACATGCACACACAAACACACTTTTATTTTTCCATTTGAGAGTAGGAGTCATACATCATATATATTTATGGCTTTATACTTTCTGGAAGTATATGTTTCCTGAAAATAGATATAACCTGTTACATGATTGCAGTGTAGTTATCTAATTTAGGAAATGTGGCATTGAAACAATATTGTTATCTCTTCTTCTGAATTCAAATGTCAATTTCTCAGGAGTATCTTTTAATACCATTTTTTCTCTAGAGCACAGAATCTAGTCCACAATCATAAAATGCATTTCAATTTTCTGCCTGTTTAACCACTTTTAATTGGGAATAGTTCCTAAGCTTTTTATTTCCTTTTATAAAATTGATACTTTTGAAGAATACAGGGCATTTTTGTAAAGAGGATGTTTGGTTGTCTGTTGTTTCCCCATGATCAAATCCAGATGTACGTCCTCGGCTGTCATTCAATCAGGAGGATAGTGTATCTTTTTCCAGGGTACTGAACCCAGAGGCACAGTATCCACCTGACTCTCACTTATAATTAATTTTGATCAGCTGGTTAAAGAGCTGCGTAGTTTTTTGTGGCATTACCATTTTCCCTCTGATAACTGGTAAGCCTTGTTCTTAACTACTTACTGTCTTGGGGATACAAACAAAAATAAATGCTGATTGTTGAGTATCCATAAAACATAAAATCATGAACTGTTAAAGTGGGAAGGTGCCTTAGAATTGGCAAATGTGTGTATATGTATATAAATTTGAATAGACTTGAAAACCACTCTTAAGTCCCCAGCAAAACTGAGAAGAAAGTAAACGCCCTGCACGCTAGGCACAGCCTCCCCCATATAAGCATCTCACACCAGAGTGGCACTCCTTACAGTTGAGGAACCAGCACTGATATGTCATTATCACCCAGCACCTGTAGTTTATATTTTGCTTCACTCTTGATGTTGTGTATTTATTGCAAATGTGTTTTTAAAAACTCAATGTAGAATATATATTTGCTGAACTCAAAATATTTGGGGCTGTTACTCTGTTAAATTCTTTCATGAGAAATACTCTGATTTTGTTTTAAATTTTGTCTCTTCTTTTGGTCCCTCTTACAATGATTATATCTTTATAGTTTACTTCGCTTTAAGGTCAGCTTTTAATGCCGTATCGACGGAGAGAGAGAGACTGAAGCAGCTGATGGAGCAGGACGCCTCCTCCTCCCCTTCTGCTCAGACCGTTGGTCTGAAGCACGCTCTGTCATCCGTGAGTTACATATCTGTGTTGGAGAAATGACTGCAAATGTGTCCACTGCTTATATTTTCCATTTTCATGATTTTTCATGGTTGGGTTGAAAATTCAAGAGAAAACCAGACAAATTATCCAAATTATATTCTAACCTTTCATCAGATCTGCTTATTCCAAATAAGAAAACTTAGCCTACCCCAAGTCTTAATAACAATATTTTATTATGTGTTGGATTCTTTATGTTTGGTTTCCTCCAATTTGTCTGAATTTTTCTGTTTCTATAAAGCTCTACTGTATGTGTGTGTCCTACAGATGTGTTTGTTAATGCTTACAAAATCTGACAGTCTGGCAGAGATTTTTGGATGTGGGATACCACAAGTTTAGATTGACTCAGCGAATGACAGGTGGCAGAAGGAAATTTCCAATCTATCCTCTTATCTTCTCTCCTGCAAAGCACTGATCCTTCTTACCGCTCTTTCAAAGACATAGAAGTTATTTCATTTTATTAAATAGCACAAAGCACTTGGCTTCTCACCCCTGTGGGCACAGAGATGCATCATGCAGAAGTGTCTGTCAGGTAGTCATTGTGCCTTCACAGCCACATGGAAATCATTGTCAGGGCCTCAGATGTTTGCCGTAAGCCACCCTGTCACTCACTCACTCTCTGCTCTTTTGCAGTTCATTCCTCAGAATAGTTGTGCTGTGTGATTGATGTCTCATGTCCTAACCCTATCTAAATAGCTGAAGTTGTCTGCAGATTCATCCTTTACCTAGCAAGAAGCTAGAAACTGTTGAAATAGCATGCTTGTTTTGCTTTTGCTCTTTGCTCGAAAGTCCTGCTTTTCTATGTATGAAATGTGCACATATGAAACTACCATCTGAAGCGGTACTGAATTTTCTATTTTAGGTCAGGTAAGGGCGATGAATTTTAGGATCTTGTTACCAAAAGCCACTATGGGTATGAAAACATCTATATTTTTGCTTATCATGTTGCTGAGAGAAGTCATGCTCATGATAAAATATTAATGATATATCCTTTATAATTTTTAAAGTATGTTCACTCAGTTGACAATTTGAAGTATATATCTTTGAAAGAAAAATTAGAAACGTTGGTTTACTCCACATATAGAGTCTTCATGTCAGAGATAGAAATGTCAGAGATAGAAAAATACCCTTTTGGATTATAGTGAGGAGCCAGCCACATACTAAATTGCTGCTTAACAGTATGTTTTGTTTTTTTTAATAAGTTTTTTACTCAACAGGTATAGCAGTTCTTATTGTTTCCATTAGGTAGCTTTTAGTGAGTTTGGGAGGTACCGCTGATGGGCTCTGCAAAGTTTCTCCCTAGTGGTCCTCCCTCTCCCTGCCCTCATACACCTCTCGGAGGCCTGGCCTCATCTCATTAATCTCCTTGTGTGGCCATTGAGACTCATTTGACCAAAGTGTTCTTTGCCTTTGCTATAAGGAATTCACTCTCACCCATGTTCATGATTTTGAAAACTTAAAGCAGAAAGATCCTTTCTTTCCTTTTTAGTTTGGACTCCTGATTCAGTTCAAGCTTTGTTTGTTTTAAAAATAAATTTTTTAGAATCATCTCAGAGCTATCAGAGTGGATATGCTGAGGCTGTGTGTTACCACCTTGGTATGTCTCTTTCTTGCTTCTACCTAAGGCTTACAGAAGAACTTTCTAAAATAACATGTTTTACAGGCTAGGCTAAGATCCCAGCTACTGTACCAGTGACACAGTGGCCAGGATGAGCTGGGTACCGCACAGAGAGTGTTGTATGTGGCTGTATGAGTTCAGTATTTCTTAAAGGATCCTCAAGGATTTTAGAATACCCAGTACCTTCTGTGGATACTGAAAAATGCAGGCAGAATCCTTGTTGGTGATTCAGGCAGTGGGTAAGGCAGTAGTGCATCGCTCTGGGCTCTCAGAAGGTGAGCCCTGCAGACCCTGCTGGATGGGAAAGGCTCTGAGCTTCTTTGAAGAGATTCAGGAAGGCAGGAAGGATGCATCTGAATTAAATTACCTCGGGAGCAGATTATGGGAGTGTTGGGAGTGATCAGGAGAATTTGTCCCCTTCCAAAGCCAGACCGTTTGGAGGACAGTTGGTCATGCAGTGCACAGGAATATCAGGAAGAAGGAAACATCTTCCTTTAGCCTTAAGCGGGTTCTTCCTAGTTGAGAGGTTGAGATAAGAATGGGGCCTGCTCAGGGGGAAATAAAAGAGGTTTGGTTGGTCTCAGATAGGATCACAGCTCACATCCACCCATTCCCAAGGCCACAGTCTGGTCCTTAAGCCCTTACGCGCAGGTAAGTGAGGTTGGCTTATTAAAAAAAAGAAAAAAGAAAAAGAAATTGTCTTAGTCCTAAAATATAATCAACATCTATATTAGAAAAAAGTAAAATTGACTTTTCACAAAGTTCTGCTTCCCAGCACCCTTCCTAAGATCCAGTTTAGCTGGTGTGATAATTTCTTTGTTTTTTTTTTTTTGGTACCGGGGATCGAACTCGGGACCTTGTGCTTTCAAGGCAGGTGGCAGAACCACTGAGCTAGATCCCCTGCCCATAGCTGCTGTGATAATTAAATCACATTTAAATGGGTTTGATCACAAGGTAGGAGCAGCATCTTTTCAAGAATGAGAAGAGCTTGGAATTATTGTCGGCTAGGGGTGGGTGGCCAAAGAAACCAAAGACTCTTGGTCAGAAGAGGGAGATGCTATGAGGCTACCAGTTTTAATGAAGCTGGTGATGGTTGTGACTTCCTTCTGTCACCCTTACTAACTCTCCTTCTACCTCTGGAGATGAGATTGGCAATAGAGCATTATTTCCAGAGTCCCCGTGTTTCCTCTGTGGGTCTCAGATGCGCCTCCTGCTGGAGAGCTCCTGGAGCAACCCCAGAAGTGCCTCTTGGGCCCCCAACACCCAGAGCTTCCTCAGCTCTCAGAGTTCCTCCGGGTCCCCTGCTGTCCTTCCCTGAAACATCCACTTATTAACGGAGCACCATTATTTTTAACATGTTCCAGGCCATAGCGCAAAACACAGATCTTAAAGAACGCTTACGCAGAATCCATGCTGAATCTCTGCTCCTCGACCCGCCTGCTGTTGCCAAGTTGGGTGACAATCTGGCAGAGGTGGGTAGGTTTCTCATCTGGCAACATCTCTGTGACCACCACCACCTCACATGATGTGCTCTGTCCAGTCGCATGGTCTCCCTGCTTCACCCTCCTGAATGGTGTTTGCGTTTCCACTGTCTCCCCTGGGTGCTGGCACAGCTGGGTGCTGCCACAGCTGGTGCATGGACTGGGCTCTCAGGATTTAAATTACTTCCATGAGAATATTTGCTAAGCACAGTTTCAAGCTGCTTTTTTTCCCAGTGTCTTCCTTTTGTATTTCTTCACCTTATTTCCCCCCTCCGCATCCTTACTCCTTTTACTAGAATTAATGAAATAGGAACTAGAGAGAGACATTTTCTCCTGTCATTTCTCAAGAAACCTAAGTTTCTCTGACCTGTCATATCCAGTTCCTTGCCAGCTTTCTTTACTCACTCCATAAAAACTATGCTGTATTTCTTTGCTGCTCTTTTCTCCAACTTCCCTTCCTGTGATTATTTTCTTCTCTTACAGAACAGTGTTACACTTTGAGGGAAAAAGTGTTGCTTTACAATTGAAATCTCTTGGACAATAAACAGATCCAAACTGTCACCTGCAGAATTTAACATCTTAATATTATGGTAGTCTTCCTTTTCTGACCTGGACAAAGCATGGGCCCTCTTTTGAATCTGCACACTCACTTGAAGTAGGGCCCAGTCACAGCCATGACCAGCCATCACTCAGGGTTGTCTGCTGCTTAATGCCATGGTGATCTCTGGTTACATGCTTATTCCCAGATGGTACTTACCTCATACTTAGTATATCCTATAAATTACATTTATACATTTAATGAGTAGTTAGATAAGTTTTATTTGTCTTTGTGAGTTTGTGCTCCATATATATACTTGGGCCCATTTGTGTTTTGGAATAGAAAACAAAATCCCAGATATTTACAAATAGATATTTTTAGACTGATCTCAAAATTAATGTACCAGAAAGCTTAAATGCCATAAGTTGTCCTTGCAGAGTAGCAACCTCAAAGTCACACCTTCCAAAACAGCCTTCTTGAGTCTCTAATCAATGTCTCATTTATTTCCTCTTCCAGAGATTTTTGTTTCCTATGATTTATCCTTTTTTTCACTGAGTGACTGAGGCTTACTTTCCCAGCAAGGGAAAAGCCATTATTGTTGTCAGGAAATAAGTGGAAATTCCACAGAAGTGGAAATGCCCACCCAGACTGAAAACTTAAGTCCAGTTTATTTTTCATAGGTAACTCTCAGCTACCTCAAATGCTGCTCTGTTGGGGACTGGCAGCCCCTAACACTGGAGTCAGCCCAGGGGCTCTGTTTTTAGGACCTTTCACTGTCTTTGTTACTTTATGTTACTTCTTTTATATGTACAGTTTACCCCTTTTCCTGTCTAACTTTCTCCCACAACCTATCAGTCCCTCCCTGTTTCATATTCCTGAATGTGAAAATTTAATATTATTAGGTGATCAGTTCTTTATTTCGTATATTTTAGATTCCAAATGAAAGGCCAGGTGGCTTTTGGCGTTAATACCCTTTTACATTTAAAGTCCATTTAAGAGACTAAAAAGGGCCTAAAAGAAAAGGGAACTTAATTCTCTTAAGTGCCTATCTGCTTGCTGTATTTCTTGTGCACTGGGATGCATTATCTCTCAAATTCCTAATCTTTACTCTATGAAATAGGCAATAGTACTTTCATTTTAGAAAAAAGGAAAGTAAAGCCCAGAGCAGTTAAATAACTAACCTCCCCACACATACAACTTACAAGAGACAAAGCTGAGATTTAAATCCTTATCCAATGAGGGCAAAACACATGTTTTCTCAGTAGCTCCTTAGTGCTATATAAGGAGGAAAGACATGCTGAGCCAGAAAATAAGTCACTGAAGCTCCACTACTTAAAATAAGGTGGGGATGCTGTAGAAATGAGGCATAAAAACTATCCTAGGCATCAACACCATTTTATATATAAAAGAAATAAATATATTGATGAGAATGGCATAAAAAACCAATGGGAAAGAAAGGGATTTTCCAATAAATTAGATCAGTGCAGCTCAGAGCAATTTGGAAAGAAGTGTAAATCTTTCTATTGAATGCCAAAATGAACCACCAGTCAATTTGAGTTAAATATAAAAGTGCAGACTAAAAAATATTGAATATTTATCAAGCTTCTGAAGTCGAGAGGATTTCCTAAATTGAGGAGTAATAAGGAATTGCTAAAGAAACACTAAGTCTATTATTTTAGGGGGAAATGGTGTGTGTCAAAAAGTAAAAATAATAGACCAAGAAAAATATTTTCATTGAAAATGACAGACTTTCATAAAAAATGAGAAATTAGAGACAGCTAAATGGATGCACATTGAGGCGATACTCTTAAGTGAAATAAATAGGACACACATGTGTAAATACCGAATAGTTTCTCTGGTGTGAGAAACTGAAACTGTAAATAAGGACTAAAATGTATAATAGGTAATATGAAATAGGAAGAAAAGGGGCAAAGGGGAAGCAAGTGGGAGGGGTAGGGGTAGGGGAAAGGAAAGAAGGGAATGGAATTAATATGAGAAAATGGAAAAAATGGAAATAAAGTCTTTTTAAATAGGGAAGGGAGGGCTAGGAATGGGGAAAAAATAAGAACCAAGATGCACTATGTAAAGGTACAAATTTCCAATGATGAATGTCATTATATTATATACCTAAAATGTACCAATGATTAGAATGAATAATCGATAATGCAAAATACGAAGAAAATGTCCAAAGGGGTAGGGGAAGTGGGAGGAGCAGGGGAAAGGAAAGAAGGGAAAGGAATATAAGTAAAGGAAAAAATGGAAATAAAGTCTTTTTAAATAGGGAAGGGAGGGCTAGGAATGGGGAAAAAATAAGAACCAAGATGCACTATGTAAAGGTACAATTCCCAATGAGAAATGTAATTGTGTTGTATACCTACACTGTACCAATAAAAGAATTTAATAAAAAAAAAAGAAAATGACAGGCTTAGATAATGCAAAATCAGTGGCAATGTTTTTGGAACTTAAGCAGTGAACAAATAAGACATCATCAAGTAAATGGAAAAAGGATGTAATTCACACACACACATGCAAATAATTGTGGAATTTTGGTTTTTTATTTCTTATTTTTTAGTTCAGGTATGCATCACTTTAATTAGTAGGATATGTTCTCAGCAATACCACATTGTTGACTGACATTATATAGTATGCGTATACAAACCTAGATAGTATAACTACTACACACCCAGGCCAAGTGGAACACACACCTAGGCTATGTGCTATTACCTGTTTTTTCAGTGTTTTATTGTTTTGTTTTTATTTTTTATATTTTCTTGCTAAAAAGTAAGGCACGCGTTAAGCTAGGCCTACACACAATCAGTATTATCAGTAGCACTGTCTTCCATCTCTGCATCTTGTCCCACTAGAAGGTCCTCAGTTCAAAAACAAATGGCTCTGTCAGCTCCTGTGACAACAGTGCCTTCTTCTGAATCCCTCAGCCTGTCACTGATTGATAGTTGATTATTATTATTTTTTGATACATATGTAGGGCTACATTCTAAAATAATGATATAGTAAATACATAATCCAGTAACATAGTCACATATTACCATTATTAGGTATTATGTACTGTACATAATTATATGTGGCTATACTTTTATATGACTGGCAAGTGCTGTGGATTTGTTTATACCAGCATCACCACAAACATGAGTCAAGCCTTGCAGTGTCATTTTTTACAGCTATGACATCAGTAGAGGACAGGAATTTTTCAGATTTGTTATAAACTCATGGGACCCTTTGACAGACATAGCATTATATAGTACATGATTGTATTTACAGATTCACAGGAAGGTACAAAGGAATGAAAAAGGAAGTCCCATGTGGCCCTGGCCCAGCCTCTCCCAACATTAAAACTCTGGCTTGTTTTTTTTTTAAAAAAGAAAGAACTGTTCAGCTTAATAAAAATTAAAACAATTACATCAGCACAAAGCTTCTTTTAAATTATGGCATTCATTGCCCTTAAAATAAGGATGAAAAGGAAAAGTTTTCTTGTTAATGCATTTAAGTAATATATATATATATATTGCTTTAAACATTTTTAATAATTCTACTTCTGAAAATTGATCCTAAGAAATAACAAGATACAAGCAAAGACATACTTACAAACATGTCTGCAAACCTGGAAACACCCTTAACTTCCAATTCAGGGAATCATTACTCGAGGGTATATACATATAATAAAATATCTTAGTAATTAAATTTCATTGTCTCAGGGACATTTTAATGGCCTGGAAGATGTCCCCAATATGTTAAGTTAATGTAGCAGAAAATCTGCAGGTTGTATATTACTTTGATCAGTTTTTCAAGGAAAAAGCCCTGAAAACTCCCAAAACCATATGCCAATATTTTAACACAAAAATTATACCAATAAATTAGTAAGGGTGATGGGACCATCTAGGGTGATAGGACTTTAAGCAATATTTACTTAGATTTTTATGTATTTTCTGTTTTGAATATGCTGTGTTATTCTCAGAGGACATGTTAATATTGAAAAATATTTTGGGTGCTGTATTTGAGAAAAGTTCATAAAATTATGTATATATATGAATAGTATGATTACAATTATCTCAAAACAAATCACAACTAAATGTACCAACTCCCCACCATAAATGTAATCATTATGTACTGCAAACATGTACCAAAAAAAAGAATAGAAATGTGTCTAGGTGTCTTTAGCAGTTTTCTTACTGTGATGGGATTATAATTCCCTTCCTTCGCTGTTTAACTTTTTGAAATATAAACAATAGATAAACTGAATTACAAAGAGCAAGGGGAAATAGTTGGATTGAATTATGTTAATATTTTAATAAATAACATCCTGAGTTGTTCAAGAACTTCTAAGGGTTGGGGGCTGCTGCAATCCTGGCAGATGTTCAGTCCTAATTGGTAGGAAGTTGCCAGAGTGGTGGAACACCAGAAGAGGGCAAGGGATATGATAATGAGTTGTAAATCCCTAACCAAAAATACAAAATCTGAAATGCTCCAGAATCCAAAACTGATTGAGCACCATTGCAGTGCCACAAGTGAAAAATTCCACATCTGACCTCAAGTGACAGGTCTCGGTTTAAATTGAAGTGCACTAAAAATATTGAATAAAATTATCTCCAGGTTATGTGTGCAAGATACAGTATATGTGAAACATAAATGAATTTCATGTTTAGACGTCAGTCCCATTATGTACATTCAAATATTCCAAAGTCCCCAAAAGTGAGAAATCTGAAACACATCTGATCCCAACCAAGCATTTCAGAAAAGGGATACTCAGCCTGTGTTATTTTCAATGTTGATCAGCCAGGAAATCCTCCTGACCCATCAGCCTAGGAGGAGGAAGATAGAAAGCAGGAGTATATCATGATGAATTAATGAGTAACACAAATAAATAAGTCATTAGCATCTCACTTGGCAGGGCACACTAGAGACCCAGGAAGAGTCCATTATCTCTAAGGAGTGTTAAAGGAGCTCAGCTAGTCATTACTGTGTCTTCAAACTCAGTAGCTCTGTGACTGCCTCTTTGGAAGACAGATACTGTTCCTTTAAAATGACAGCTGTGATAGTTATTTATAGATTCTACAGTGATCTTTTTGTTAGAATAGAGAAGAAGCTGGCTTCTCAGAAAACTGCATGGATATTAAGATGAGTGATCTCTAAACCAATACCTTGGACAGATACCTTATTTAGGAAAACTCCAAGAGAAAAGGATAGATATTTCCATGTGTCCCCAGTGTGAAAATTCATAAAGGGACCTCTTGCCCTTTTATTAACTGTGAAAGTATACTGAAGCCTCCTGTCCTAACATCCCCTCCTTGGGCATAATTAATATTTGAAGCAGAGCAATGTTCTCTGAACTTGTAAAACCCTGGGTATCATCTGCCTTAGTGTCTGCTCCCCAGGTTATTCGGGACTTGTTCATCAGGTATATAATGACATAGACATAGCTCCTTGCCCAATGTAGTGAAAACTGTGAGCAGTTCAGGTGCTTGGGGGAATGAATGATGTTTCCCCTCTGAGGCCAAGGAGTCAATTCATCTTGTCCTAAATCTGTTCTTTTCTCTCAAGGTCTGGGTCAGATGTCACCAAACTAGACCCCCCTCATCAGACACAAACAAGCTCACTTTCATCTTAGCTTTTGTAGCCCTTGTCTCTTCATGGTCTTGGTCTGATGTGTGTTGGGGGTGTTTTCCACACCACCCTTTCAGACCAAAGCCTTTTCTTCCTCTTTAACATATTTCTGCATGGCCAGCTGAGGACTGTATACAAATGAGTTGCTTAATGTATTAAGTTGAGTTGAACTTTTACTTGCAAATAGAATAGAAAGCAAACTAGCTGAGTGTTCAGGTCCTTCTGTTTGTAGCACACGTCTAGACTTTGTGGGTGAAGAATGGAGGGCCATGTGCGATGACAATAGAGTGATGATCTGTTGTTTGTGTAGAGAATTATACTGCAGATGGGGAGTTTCCTTCCCTTGAAGAGCCATTGTAGGTGGAAAGAGACAAACAGAATCCATCTCACTTATCCATGAATAATGAATGATCTGCCACCAGGGGCACTTCTGGACAAAATCGTACTGTTTATTTGTCAAGGGACACCTCAAAAGTAGCATATTGGCCTTTGAGAGTGCATAGGAGCAGAAGAAAGCTGTGCTGCATGGAGCCAGCCATGGAAGGATGTGCATTCAGCACAATTCTGAGGAAATTTCAGGATGAAAAGAAGTGTCCTGCAGTGGTACAGAATAAGAGGATATGATTCAGAGAATGTTGGAATTTTCCCCCTTAGTTGGAAAAGACTGACCTGGACAGCTGTTTTTGGCTTAAGATCTATGGCATGTGTCTAAGCAGTGCTAGTACCTGTAAGTGAAGTGTCTATTTGGGGGAGAACTTCACTTTTCATTTTGTTTTGTGTGAGGCTTATTCTCAACTTTGGCCCTGACCTCTGCTTTGTTTGCATGGGACTGTGACCCTGTATATTAAGCAACTAAAACATTTGGGTTTTTTCTTTATCTCACGAGACTGTTTGTAAATATATGCATTTTTGGTTTTGTTCTTAATATAGGAAAACTCCAGAGATGAAAATCGAGCTCTGGTCCATCAGCTTTCCAATGAAAGCAGGCTCTCTATCACTGACTCCCTTTCGGAATTTTTTGATGCACAGGAAGTACTGTTGTCTCCAAGCTCTTCAGAAAATGAGGTTTGAGCACTATTTTCCATTAGATGCCTTGACAATCACTTTTGTATCTTTGTTGATTAACCTGTTCAGTAAAGATTTATATGTAGAGACACACGATTCATAGCCCCTTTTCCACCATGAAATTCTGAGTATTCTCTGTTGAATCATACACAAAAAGCACAAAATAATTTGATAGGCTAGAAGAAAAAAGTTATAAATGTAGAGAATGTTAGACACCTCTTCATTTCTGTTATTGTGTTACATTTTCTTTACAGATTAATAAGTGTGATTTCTATTTAGTAATGTAATATTTCCATTATAGGGAAAGCAAATAGCATTCTGTGTATTTTTAATCATGTTAGTTTTATGATACAATTTTATATTATTATAATAATGTGGTTATTATAGTATTAATTTACAGAATACAGTATTGCTTTAAATTGATACATAAAAATCATACTTTCTGGAATAGGCAAATACCATAGTTAACATTCTTGTGGGTAAATGTGTACTAATAAATGTGCTCCTTAAATATAGAAGTGGTAACATTGTTGACTATTAATCCCATAGAAAATTTTTTTCATAAATACTTCAAAGATAAATTATAACTCCTACACAAATACCAACAAATTCTGAAAATGAAATATGAATTAGTAAGAATTTTTATGACAACAAAAATGTTCAGTTTATTTGCTATTTTACTGTTAGTGCTAACCAAGAACTTATGATTATTTAATAACAGTTGTTTTGCTATGAGCACTGCCTAGGCAGATTGGTATATGGGCCTCTATGAAAAATAGCACGTAAAAGTCTTTCTATTGCTTTGTGAAGTGGAGTTCAACACATTTGATCATTTGGAGTAAGGGATTTATGAAAATTTGATTATTGTTTAGTCTTACTCTAATGTATATTATTTCTTCTTTCCCATAGATTTCTGATGACGATTCATATGTCAGTGACATAAGTGATAACCTTTCCTTAGACAATCTTAGTAATGATTTAGATAATGAAAGACAAACCTTGGGTAAGATTTATATTATTTGATCTTTGAAAGCTTGCATCTTCTTAGAATCCTAATAAGTAAATCTAGCAAATACTACATGGGAAAATTAACATGGTCCCCACCTCCAGGATTTTATAATCTAGATAAGGAAACAGCACCTACATGTGAAAGATAGATTTATTCAAATCAATTCGTCTGCTTATAAAATTTTTGTTTTATACAGGGAGAGCATGCCTGTTTTCACATACATATCAAAAAAAATGAAACAGCTATCCCTTAGGCAGCAAACATTCTCTCTCCAGGCATATTAGATTTGCCTTTAGGTATCTAAGGGTTTTTATAATTTAAGAATTTGACAGCACATATAATAAAGGTTCTCTTCTAAGTGGTAATTTAGCTTCAGATTATTCAGAATTATACACTTCTACCTCCCCTCAAGGTATCCTAAGATGTCTCTTTATTACTGCCTCATCCCAAGAGGGAAAACAATGACTAAGAAAGGTTTTTATAATGCTAGTTTGAACTGTGGAGTACCTGGAGTATCTGGCTATTCTCAAAGAGCTCTGATTTATGGAGGGGCTCTTAAAAGAATCTGCCCAATGGGACAGTTCTCTTCATGGGTCCTTGTAGCATCCAGTGTTTCCAGTCTTAATACTTAGTGTACCCTGGGTTCTATAATTAGTCTGTGCTACTCAAAGCACTACCTATTTTCACATCTTCATGGAGGACAAGGACTGTGTCAGGTATGTTCAATGGCACTTCGGTTTTTCTCAGCTCAGTGAGTATATGTGAACTATGATGATGAATTGTTGTCGAAACACTAAAGAGCTGCTTCTTCGGGGACCACAATATAGAAAGAAGGCAAGTAGGCAAATTTCTCATCATCTGGCAGCACACCTGCTAGCAGTAGATACTTGTCATTCTCTGTATTCTGCTCGAAATGTTTCTGCAGAGATGAACCCCTTGGTGGAAAAGTCTAAGGACCAGTGAGTTTAAAGTCGAAGGCTAATAATACCGGAGTAAGTTCATGTGCTCCTTGTTTTTTCTAGGAAAACAAGGAAGCAAATTAAAAAAAGAAATGAGGAAACACCACTTACTCCATTGGCAAACAGCACATGCTCTAATATGGTGCTCCCACCTGTAGATGAGAAAGAAGAAAAATGCTTAAGTCCTCCAACTCCTGGAGGCCTTAGAGAGGGAGCCAAAGGGAGCACAGAGTGAATGGGGGTTTAGAGGCTGAAGCAGGGCAGAGAGGACACAATCCAGAACCCAAGGCTATGGCTGTCCTCACTTGACAGCAGCCAGGAAAAGCATAGAAGGAGTTAGGGTTGATTCTCTCTAATTTATCCCATAGCCGTTTTGCTGGAATGCTGACCTGTGTTGCCTAGCTAAAACAAACTGGGCAGAATCAAGTTTTCTTCTTTGTCTGTATTTGAACATGAGGAATGGCTGTTCCCCAGTTCTTCAAAGACACTGGATAAGGAATAGTTGACTTGTCAGTATTTTGAAGAGATGGATATAGAAATAATCTTTATGTCCTATAAATTTAACCAACAGAAGGAAATAAGACAGAATCAAGTCTTGGTCTGTTGTTACACTAGAATTTCTCAGACCTTATAATAAACATGGGGTGTTTAGAATATTAAGTTTCTTTCCCCCCAAAAAATCACTGGCTACATGTTAGGCTCTGTCACTGTGTTGGGTGCTGTGGAGAGGACAAGTGGCTAAAATTATGGATTCAGGGACTTCCTTGGTTAACCAGCTCCAGGTCTACCACTCACTGATTGTGAGTGCTAAGACAGGTTACTTCTGTACCTCATTTTCTTCAACTGTAAAATGGGGGAAATAATATTCTTTATACCTCAAAAGGTAGTTGTAAAAAACAAATGAGAAGAGTACATGTAAAATGCTTAGACTGACCATCACAGAGTAAAAAGCAAAATGTGTAAGCCATTAGTAGTATTGGTATCGTGGGGAGTACCATTGTTCCAAAATTTAAATTTGTGTAGTCAAAGAAAATACTATGAAACTCCCCAGAAAGCTGCTTTTAAAAACTACTGCCATTTGCAACTACTTCCTTATTTCAGATTTTTCTCATATAAGCAATTAAAACAAATACAAATATTAATCCCAATTTCATATTTTTCTGTTCATCAAAGCAGTTTTGTTATCCAGATTGGTTTTATAATGAGTAAATGTTACATGTTTATGTTTAACAACCAAAAAGATACACTGGGGCAATATTTGAACATAGAAACAGGATGGGAAAGGAATTTCAGAGCATTCCAACTGATAGATTTGTATATCTAAAATGTAAAAGTTTCATTCACCAAAACCCTCCATGGACCATGTTTAAAGGTAAATACCAAATGAGGATTAAATTGTAAAGCAAATATAAAAACAAAAGATCATGGCTTTAATAGATATATAGAAGACAAACAAATCAGCCAAGAAGAAATGCTCATAAAAGTATTCTAAACCATAATAGAAAGTTTTTAAATGTAAGTTAAAACAAAGGGATAACATTATCTACCTAATAAGTTGATAAAAATTAAAAATAAATAGTGCCAAGCCTGGAAAGGCCTCAAGATGAATATTCACATCTACTGCCAGTAAATGAGAAAATTGGTACAGCTTTTTGGAAGAGCATTCTGATCATATGAGTCAAAAGTCTAAAAACATTTATAATCTCTGATGTAGTAATCCCACTTTGGTATATGCTAAGAAAATAATCAGAGGTCCAGGAAAATATTTAAGTATGTGAAACATTCACTACTGGTTTTTTTTTTGGTTGGTTGGTTTTGTTTTGTTTACATCATAATAAAACATTGAAACAACTCTGATGGTCTTTAACAGTGGACAAATGATTCACTAAATTATGGCATATCTATAAGTACAGTATTTTTACAATCATTTAAAATGATATTTTAGAAGAATTTAAAATAATGTGAGAAAATACTCCTGTTAGCTAAATAAGCTGAACATGGAACTAACTATATATATATCGTGAGCTATATGGATGGAGAAAACACTAAGTAAAGATGTTTTAAAATATAAATGCTAAAAGAATTTAAGGAAAAAATAAAATATAAATGCTATTTTGAGATGAGTGACTATTATGTCCTGTATTATTCTATGATAAACAATTGTTTTTATTAGAATTTGAAGTGATTTATTTTAAAAAGTTTGTAAGTTTTTGTGTCATCTGCTATAGGGATAGAAACCCAATTTCTAGTTTTACTCTAAGCATATATAAGCCTCAAGGAGCTAGCTTTTAAGAACTTAAGAGCCTCCCTATGAATAAATTCCATGAATTTAATGTGTGCAGTTTTTGGTTTTTTGTTTATTTTGTGGTGCTGGGGATTGAAACCATGCCCTGGCACATCCTTCCCATAGGCTCTCCCAGTGAGCTTCATGCTAAGCCCTAGCTTTTGGTATTTAATTGCCCAGAATTCTTTTCCTTACTTTTCGGCTTTCAGTCGTACTCTGGGTAAATGAGTTCCATAGTAAAATGAGGACTTGCCAGGTAAGGTTTAATTCAAAGAGTTGTTACTTAAGTAATAGAATAAAATGAAAAGGTTGCTAGAGACAGCCAGGTCTTTGCCTCTCAGGGCCTCTTCTTGAGCGTGATGGGCGAGTGAGGTCCAAGAGAAGGACGTGCCTGCCCGCACCGGGTCCCAACACCAGCAACATCAGCCTGTGGAACATCCTTCGCAACAACATCGGGAAGGATCTGTCCAAGGTGGCCATGCCGGTGGAGTTGAACGAGCCCCTGAACATGCTGCAGCGGCTCTGTGAGGAGCTGGAGTACAGCGAGCTCCTGGACAAGGCAGCACGGATCCCTAACCCTCTGGAAAGGATGGTGAGGACTCAGCCTGCCTGCTGCCTTGCTGTCCAGCCTGTCTCCTACCCTGAGCCATTCTTCTGGGTCCTTCAGAGCCAAGATAGGTAGAGCTCCTGTGCTGTCTGACCCTCTCAGAGCCACCTGGTTCCCCTCCACCGGCTGTACAGTCACCCCCTCAGGATCCACTCTTGTGCCAGAGGTGCCAGAGAGGGTTCTGCTCTGTGGTTTTGTGCTTCCTTCTGCAGAACCTTCTGTCTGATGGTTCTGACAGGCTTGGTTGGAAAACATAGCTTTAGGGCTCTCAGTATATTTATTTTTACAACCCTGAGTGGACAGAATTTAATTTCTTCAGCTGTTTTTCTCATCCAGAGTAAATGTACCTTGAGAATGTTTTTGTTTATTTCTGAAATTATCCCATCACTTCCTAGGTTTTCAGAAAATACTGTTCATAGAAGAGGTTTTTACATCAAAAAGATTTTTTTTTGCATTCATATTTTATAGAGTTTTTTTAAAAGTTTCTTAAGTTTTTAGTTTTAAGGGTTTTTTTTTTTATTTGAAACTGTTGAAAATTTTGATTGTGAAAACTGTTCTTTTGGCTTCCCATATGTGACTGGAAAAGGCCTTGTCTGGGTGGGTTGCTGGGTCTTCAGTGTCCCCCAAGTGTGAACTCTCCCCTGGCATTTGCTGATTGGCTAAGTTGGAATTGAGGCACACCCCCTCCCCCTTTATAGACCTAGTGCCCCAACACCTTCCCACTAGTAGAGGATTCAGTCTTTTCTAAATTCAATGCATTCATAGTTTTAACCCTCATGAAAACTTCATTACTTCAGTGGTTTGAAGATTAAAGGGAAATTTAAGTCAGTGGCCAAAAGAAAATGTTCATCCTTATTCCTTCTGCTCTGGGCTTCCCCCATCAAACAGACTTTCTTTTTCCCTTGATGCTAGTGATGATAAGGACAGGATAGAAAAAATAAGCTCTCTCTCTGTGTGTGTGTGTGTGTGTGTGTGTGTGTGTGTGTATTAATCTTTGTTACTTTCCTCCAGATAATTTCTGCTGTAAAAATGGAGGCAAATAGCTTTTAAGTCCAGTGTTAAAAGTCAACTTTTGTGGACAGCTTTATTTTCTTTAAAGAAAATGATTGGCTTTGATGATGAAAGTATTCTTGAAGATGGTTGGCATGCATGACATTGAGCAGAAGTTTGAGGAAAAGCTTCACATCCCCAGCGCAACCACTAAGCAGAAGCTTTGACCGAGGCTTCCTTTCTGTTCTGAGGGTCACCAGATTCCCCTGCATGTCACCATTCCTCTGTCGTGTCACCAGCCTACAAGGAGGTCCTTCATTTTGCCTGCCCCTGCAATGTCTTCTTCCTGTAGCATTTATTAAGAAGAAAAGAACAGAAACCTGGGTTTTAAGAACACAGGCAGTCACAGATGGGACTCACATGAGGATGGTGAATTGATATATATATATATATATAAAATATAATGATATATATGTCATCTATACATAATATATATAAAATTATATATATATATTAAATTTCTTTCTGGTGCTGGGGACGGAACCCAGGACCTGCTCATGCTAGTTAAGCACTCTACCACAGAGCTATACCCCTGTCCATGAACTGATTTTTATAAATGATCCAGGAGTTCTGGAGCAATCTACAGTGTGAAGTGGAAAGGTGACCCATTATAAAGAGCACCCAAACATTTTGGAAAAGTCTAATAAGGAAAATGATGTGGATAGTGAACATTTATGAAAGGAACTTACCCTTTCTTCAGTGTAAGAATCTTCAAGAAATGTGCTGGGAAGAAGAAATGTTGAGATCATTACTCAACAGTAGAAAGGAAATTTTGCTGCTACTACTTAGGTTTAACTTTTTTGGCCAAGAAGAGATAAGAAAAGGTAATGTGTTTCTTTGATGCCTGAAGAGGGAACTGATAAAAATCTAGGAATCCTCATAGTGAGAACCATTGAAGGATTTTGTTCATTTCATGTTCACATATAATCCCCCCCCCTTTTTTCTTTGATGCTTAATTTTTCTTCTAGAAAAGCAGAACTTTAATGCCACTGTATCCTATGTTTGTTTCCCAGACTTAGGAAATGACTGTCACAGATTTTCTTTGGTCACATGAGTTTTTAGGTTTCAACAGTATCAAACTGTGCCTAGGGCTGGGGATTTAGCTCAGTGGTTTTGCCTTCTGCTGAGCAAGTCCAAGGACCTGAGTTCGATCCCCAGTACCAAAAAAAAAAAACTGTGACTAACCAAATTTATGATGCTTATTCTTGAATTTGTGAGGGGAAGTTTGGCTTCTTTTTATACTCTCTCCACTCTTCCCTGAAACCATGATATCAGAATTTCCAGTTAATGTCAAGCTTGAAGGTACTGACTCAACAGGGTAGTCTGTTTTATAAATGGCACCATCTTAAGCACATCTCCCATCCTTTAGGCATCAAAGTAAGTGGACAATTTTAAAATGTTTGGTTTTGTTTCTAGGCCAAAATGAACATTATGTGAACCTACAACTTTAAACCAACATTGACTCCGTTGGCTTTAAACAAACATTGATTCATTTGTCTTTAAACCAAAGACAAATCTTTGGTTTCCTGCAATAAACCATAGAGAGAAAAATTGAAGTTTTATTTCATTTCTTTGTGAAAAACAGATTTCTTGATGACCTAGAAGTAACCGAGTTCTTTTCTTTCCCTCCTTAGGTGTATGTGGCAGCCTTTGCCATATCCGCATATGCGTCCAGCTACTACCGAGCTGGGAGCAAGCCATTTAATCCAGTCCTTGGAGAAACGTACGAGTGTTTTCGAGAGGACAAGGGCTTCCAGTTTTTCGCAGAACAGGTGATTGTACACCACTTTTTGGGGGGAGTTGCTTATGCCTATCTTTCACTGGCTTCAAAGCAATTAAGATAATTACAGTGCTTTGAAACATAAAGGCAGGGATCCATTTCCCTCCCACTGAAACCCAACTACTATCCATAGTCACAAAATGGTGAATAATTCTCAGCACTCATTTTGCTAAGTACGTTAACAGTATCCTTTCTCTGTAAAATCATTAGCAAAGGAATTATCCAAGGGTGGAGTGCTTGTCCCATTTGTCACTCAGAGGTTGGAAGTGTGCCCCTAAGTATGGGCATTGTCATCCCAGAGCCTGACTGCCCCTCAGAATGGGCAGCACCACATCCATCCATTGTTCTTAATTTTGGCTTAAAAGAATCATTCATTTGTGTATTTATTCATTCAATCAACAGGTTATTTTTAAAATGTATACCATGTGGGCAGTATTGTTCTGGGTGCTAAAATGCCACAGTGGGGTAGGAGGCTAGGGAACCTGACTGGGATCCCTGTCGTCTTCGCATGGAAGGACACACATACTTCATACAAATGGGGCTTGAGGTTCTGTAGGCTCTTTCCACCTAAGAATAAGCACGGAATAATGTTCAAGAGTTAAACACCCTATGTTCGATCTCAGCTGTACCTCTTGATAGGTGCATAAGCTAGGGCAAGTCACTTAGCTTCTATGTGCTATGGTTTCCTCTTTAACATGGGGGTAATGGTCATTATATGTGCTTCACATGCCTTGTGATGATTAAATGAGACCAATACAGTCTGATACATGAATTGTAAATGTTCTGTGTGTGTTTTCTGACATTGTCAATGTGTGACAACACGGTGTGCAATAGTGGAATGTTGGGAACCTTGAACATATCTGTGATGAAGAATAATTGCAGTTAGAGTGCACACATTCAGAAAGTACAAATGAACCCTTCTTTGTCTTATTTAGCAGCAACTGAGCATGTTCTTCTTTAGTATATCCCTGAGTGTCACCTGAGGGCCACTAAACATCATTGATTAGCTACATTTCTCTCCCCAATTCTTAGAAAACTGAGGAAAAAGAGGGAGGATGGGTTGCCAAAATATTCTTTCCCTTCCAGTTGCCCTGCTCTGCTCTTTCTCACTGTATCTGCCTTATGAGGACCAGAAGAGAAGGGTGACATGGCCCAGAGACTTAACTAAATGATGAGCAGTGTTTGGAATGTGAAGAAAATGAATATACAATAACCTCAAGGCACATTTTCAGTATCTTCCTAGTTAGGAACTAAAATAAGAAAGCAAATACTGACTTGTACTAGGGAGGTGAGGGGTTAAATCAGTAGTTAAGGGGATAAGATAATGTGTCTGATTCAAATTCAACTGGGCTATTTAAGTACTGAACCTAAAATGGAAAGAAAATATAATTTTGTTACCATGGTATTATACTCACTCTTGTGAGGGAAAAAAAAGGATCTAAAATAGCCCCAAGCTGTAGAAGACAATCATGATAGGATGCAGAGGCCTAAGAAAAGAATAGTGCTGAATCTGGCGGCGCACGTCTGTAATCCCAGCACTCTGGGAGGCTGAGGCAGGAGGGTCACAGGGCAGAGCCCAGCCTGGGCAGCTCAACACTTTAGCAAGACCCTGTCTCAAAATAAAAAATAAAAAAGGGGCTGGGGATGTAGCTCAAGCCAAAGGCTCTGGGTTCAATCCCCAGCACTGCAAATAAAAGAAAGAGAGAGAAGGGAAGAGGGAGGGAGGGAGGGAGCTAGGGTTACAGACTTCTGAAGGACTAATGTAATAAATGGAGCAGGGCCCCCAAATTAATATTTTTTATGAAATTCCACCCCAAGAAAGACATTGATGGAAATCTTATCTCCAAGCTAAAGGATCTGAGAGACACAGCAAGGCCTTTCAGCTGGATTTTCTAGATAACAGAGTCTGACTTGAAAGTGACAGCTCTCTCCTCCATGCCCCAGGACTGTGTCACTTTGTGGTTTGAGGTTATGTGGATGTTGGAGGTGGTAAGTGTCCGGGACATGAAGTAATTGCTGCTTCATAGAGTTCAGCTACACAGAAACTTGCTTCTCTATGTTGTTTCCCATCCTAAAAACCTAACATAATACCAAAGCTACTCATGGTCAGAAACCAGAGAAAATATTCCTTGTTCAGATTTTCCTAATTACAATTAAGTACTAGGTTTGTAGACTACTTTATGCTTTCAGACAAGCACGTAATCTTATTTGGACCTCAAAAATGCCCCGTGTAGTAGGCGTTTGAGAAAACTGAGGCCTATAAGCAAGGAAACCCAGGCCTCAAGAATCAGTTTCGCAGTGCCCAGACTAATGCTGGCCTCAGGCCCCCTGTAGTGTTCTTTCTCCCTCACCCTCTTTTGGTCTCTTGTGCAGATTTAGTTACTGTACTCAGAGCTACTAAGATTTGCGGGCTGTGAATGTAAAAATAGCCTTTTTGTATACTGTTCAGAAGAAATTTTACCTGTCACTGTCACTTAACCCTTTCATCCTGCACACTGACATAGGACTTTGTTCTCAACTCCCATTGAGAGTGAGCGTGGCCTTTGTGAATGAGAAGCATTCAGGAAGAAATCATAAACATTCCTGTCCTCTGTTCTAACCTGTGGTTACTCCACCTTCTCGAGGCTGTCCTGTGTGCCAAGAAATGACACAGTCTTGGCTTTCTGAGTAGGCCCAGGAAAGGGGCAATATAGAGAGAACGGCCTTTCTTTCTTTCCTTTGTCAAGCACTCCATAACCTGCCCATGGTTACTCCTTGCTGGCTTTCTCCTGCTGGCTGGTAGAGCAAACACACTGGTTTTGAGCTTTGTGGAAGGAATGCTTGGGTCAGAAATCATTTCAATTAGCTCTGCTGCTTTCTCCATACCTTTGAGAAAGGTGTGGGTTGAAAATATATGCAAGTAAGCTACTACCTAACAGCAGCTTTTCCTATGTAAGGTACATGGGACTTAAGTTGTCAGATGCTTGCTCAAGTAATTTTAACCATTCACTTATCCAGCTGTATACATTTGATAGTTTGTGTCAGTCACTGAATGCAGTTAGTAAAAGTTATTAAACATTTTTTGAAAGTTACTGAAATGTTAGAGATTCAAAGGAAGTCTTTTTCTCTCTTTCTCTATGGGCTCAGCATGTTCTGCTTTTCCGCTGCTCATTTGGAGAACTCTGAACATACTTGCACAGATTTATTTTTTAAATTTTTTTTTATTACTTAAATTCTTTTATTGGTACATTTTAGGTATACAACACATTTACATTTCTCATTGGGAATTGTACCATTACATGATGCACCTTGGTTCTTATTTTTTCCCCATTCCTAGCCCTCCCTTCACCCCCTCCACCCTTCCCTATTTACAAAGACTTTGTTTTCATTTTTCCATTTTCTCATATTAATTCCATTCCCTTCTTTCCTTTCCCCTACCCCTCCCGCTTCTCCTTCCCCTTCCCGTTTTCTTCCTATTTCACAGTATCTATTATACCTTTTAGTCCTTATTTACACTTTCAGTTTCTCACACTAGAGATACTATCGGTATTTACATGTGTGTCCTATTTATTTCACATAAGAGTATTGCCTAAATTCTATAAATTTCTATAACTTCTCATTTTTTATGGCTGAATAGTCCCCTATTTTATAAAAAACCCCCACATTTTCTTTATCCAGTCTCAGTTGATGGGCATTTGGGCTGCTTCCAAGTTTTAGCTATTACAAATTTTGCACAGATTTATTAATGTCATGCTTATCAGCTCTCTCCTTGCACAGTTACAGCACCTCTCTGAATAGTTCTTTTCTCCAGCAGATAGTTATTTGCTGCTGATCAAAGTTGCAACACCTTTAAAGACACTATCCGAGGGGAAATTCAAGCTGTCCAAATAAAACTAGCAATAACTCAAATATAAGGTAAAGAAGCCATTGCTCCCAATGAGAAATGTAATTGTGTTTTATACCTAAAATGTACCAATAAAAGAATTCAACAAAAAAAAAAGAAAAAAAAAGAAGCCCTTGCTTTGTGGTTTCCTACATTTCTAGGTCATCATTTAATGCGTTCTTGTTTTTGTTTTGCAAGACACCATGTGTTTATAAGTGATAAACTTTGAACTTTGCCAACTGCATTCTCCCCCACATCATGCAGTCTCCTTGGCCTCATCATTAATAACCCTTTGACTTACAGTTCACCTCCTATCCATCAGCAAATCCAGGGGTTTCTCGTTAGAAGCCTTCCTTTCCAAAGCAGCCATTTCACTCCCTCCTCCCTGCTGCTGACTGCCTGGCCCAAACCATGGTAATCAGTGACAGAGACTGTTGCCCTAGACTCCTTAGCTGGTCTCTTGTTTCCATAGCAAAGTCCTTGCCCTGCAAGCAGAGTGCTTGAAACAGAAGCAACATCTCTGTGCCCTTCCACAACTTCACAAGTCACATGGAATGAGATCCAGAGTCCCGAGCTATAAAGCCCTTCCAAGCCCAGCCTAGGCACCATACCTTCCCCCACTGAGCTGCAGCCACACTGGCCTCTTCATTTCTTCTGATTCAGACTGAGCATTTCCAGTCCTTGGCAAAGGCGTGTCTTCCGCTGGAGATGTACTTCTCCCGAATATCTGCATGGTTAGCTTCCTTAGGTCCCTTAGCCTCCAAGGCGATTTCCACCTGTTGGGAATCGTACTGCTGCTCTCTGGGCTCTATCCTCATGCTTTGCAGTGTCTTCCCAGCTCTTGCTCTACTGACAAGCCGGGTGCTTATTTATATGTTGTCTATCTCACTGTTGCTGCCTAACAAGGCCCTTTACTTTTAGTAATGACGGAAATTAAAAGTAAAGCAAAGGGCCGGGGATTTAGCTCAGCGGTTTTGCCACTTGCTGCTCAAGTGCAAGGACCTGAGTTCGATCCCCGGTACCAAAACAATCAATTAATTAATTAATTAAATTAAATAAAAGTAAAGCACAGATTTATAGGAAAAAGCTTTAATTAGAAAATAACAGAAAATAATAAAGAGCTTTAGTTC